TAAAAACACGAATCCGCTGTGTTAGTCCACTGGATTCAATATCCTGGCAGTAACGGGCATAATGAACAGATCTACCCCAGATGCCAGTCCAGCAAACCACTCACACACCTTGATCTATAGTGACTCAGTGGGAATATGCTGGTATTTACAATTAAACATGTTCTTAAATGCTTTGCTGCCTGGGGGCTGGAGCACTCAGTGCTGGTAGGATCCAGTCTGCTCAATTGATCAAGTGCAGGATTCCCCATCAGGTCCAGGTCCCTGGCACCAAACACTGTGGAACAAATTGTCCCAGAACTGAGCTCAATGGGCAGGTGCTCTTGAGGGAGATATGATGCCTAAACGGCAGAACTGATGCCTAAAATCATTGTTGTCCAATTTCCTCCGGATGCTCATGGCATATCCACAGAGAAGTGGGCACGGCACTACATACACACTTCTGTCCTTCTCTTTAACCGTATTTCCTTATTCCACAGTAGGGCTCACTACATACAGAGACCCAGTCAGGGGAGCATCTTACACCAAAAGTAACAAAGTTTGAAAATACCCTTTGGTTAGCTCCCAGTGGTAGAAACAGTATTACTGGTCACACAATTATCCCGTTTTCATTAAAAACACAAACCAAAAAAGCTGAAAATATTATTTTAGATGGAAATTTACCCTATTAGAACAAATAAATTCTGTATGAAATTTGTAAGTAATGTGGTGGTAATTTTCTTATTATATTGCAGTCAGGGATGAAATCCCATCGCTTAACTCTTTGAAGGATGCTCCTCTAATCTGAAACTGGCTAGAATACAGACAGAGACCAGAATCTTCTCGGATCGTGGCTTAAATTTTAAATTCAAAGTTGATTGACTCCATAACTTAAGGAATATTTTTTAACGGAAGTCATTATTACTGGCTATTTACCATTCACTGTGATCATCTCCCATGTAGAGACCAATAGGAAGGATACAGAAATAATTGGCTTCCTCCTAATGCCCATTGTACATCATGGCCACGCCTTTACCAAACTTCACCCTCTACTCTCCCTAGTCTCCATGATACAGTACGACTGTCCCCTTCCCATCTCTGCAGCCCCTAATGCCCCTTGGCCCTGGGTACATACTTGCTTGTGCAGCCGGCGCTGAAGCTGGTACCTTGGTTTCTACTTTTAGTGAGCTAGCTAGAGTACAGCTAGAGTAGCTACAGGAGATGCTATTCACACCCCTGGCTGCAGTGTAGATGCACCCCATGGTGTCCTGTGTTCTGTCGCACAGGTCAAAGGGTTTCCTTTGGCTTTTCTCTTCCTTTGAATGATGCCTGGGGATGAAATACACTCCATGAAAGGTGTAATCAGGCGTGGACTCACCCCTGTGGCGCCTCCTGCTGGTCATCTCGGGAATTAGCTCACCAGCATCCGGAGCGCCCTCTGCAGGCCAGGTGTCCTGCCTGTCGTTGGCCCCCCGTGTCCCTCCCAGACCCCGGTGCCCTTGGCTTGGGTGCTGCCCCCCTGTCAGTACCCCACTCTCTCTCTCTGGGTCTCCCCACCCAGGTGAACCTCCACCCCCTATCCCAATGTCGCCTCAGTTGTGGCTACTGCCAGTCACCATCTAGCCCCCACGCCCT